TTCTAATTTCCCTTGAACTCTATCATACATTTTAATTGTGTTTCATACAATTTCTTGATTTGTGTCTTCAACCCAGTCCAAGTCAATTCATACTCTTTTGCTTCTTCTAGCCTAATTATTTTCACCAAATCTATATTTGATTGTACCTTTAGTATAGAAATAAATGTCGTGTCGTCTAATCTGTATCATTCTTTTATCCATTGCAGATTTTCCAGCCAAATATTTATATTTTGTAGATCAAAAGCGGACCAAGATATTAACTTTTATTGAATGGTAGGACTTTTCGGAAATAAAAGACTGATCGAAGGAGTCAGCAGACTTTGCATTTAAAAACGTATTCTCAAGTTTATTAAATGTAGTTTCGAGTTCTTCCCTAATTTGGTTTATTAAGGAACCAATTTCCATAAAAGACTTCCCACAAGGCTTCTCCTATTGGCAGATTGTGTTGCATTGTCTTATTCCATTAATATCAATCAATTACTCGATTATAATCTGGGCCATTTTTCTATAAATTGTTCCATAATCTATATGATTGTCCTATAAACAGATTGAGTAATATTATATTACTTTTTGGTCTGTATTCGACAATTTTTTTTCTTATTTATAAATAAGAAAATATTTTAATGTATAGAATATTACTTAATTGAAAAGAAATAATAATATTTATAATAGAAAATATTTGAAATTCATCATCACTTTTTAATTAAAAAAAAAATGGCAAAAGTCCTTCCTTACTACATGGGGCGTTTTTATCTAATTTTGCTCTCTTAAGACACCTCTCTAGTAGACATGTCCTAAACACATATAAATTTTGAGGGCGACGCGTATAATAAGAGCTATAAGCGAAAACTCATCGGATTACTTAACGACTCTGCACAGTGGAAGCCACTGTTGCTTAACCTTGTTCACGTCGCGGAGTAGCACGTTGGACGGCGGACGCTTACAATTCGTGTCACGTGACCCGATTCCGACGTCACTCGATCACATACTAGTTATTGATACTATAGTGTGTTCAAAGAACTACCGTGAATCAATAACTAGTGACGTTAAAGAATCGGCGGCCTGCCGGCGGATCCCCTCCGGGAAGAGTCTGTTGGGAGCACGAATAATCGCGACCGCCGCCATGACGGTGCACATAAATATAAATTGGTAAAATTTTATCTATTAGCCTATTGTTATTAACTCATTTAATATGACCAGTAACACAATAATAAGTCATTTCTAATTACAAAATACATGCCATAATATATTATGATATATCACGTGACCGGACAGCACCAAGGAATGTCACGTGACAGTCTTCGTACGCCTCCGCCGTACAATGTGCCGCTCCACGACGAAAACAAGCTTAAGCAATGGCGGCTTCCACCGTGCAGAGTCGATAAGTAATCCGATGAGTTTTCGCTTATAGCTTTTATTATACGAGTCGCCCTTCAAAATTTTTATGTGTTTAGGACACGTCTACTAGAGAGGTGTCTTAAGAGAGCAAAATTAGAAAAAAACGCCCCCTGTAGTAAGGATAAACGTCTATCAAAAAAATAATAATAAAAATAAGAGAACACAAAAAAAACAATATAACAAATTAAAATTAATATTTAATTCTAAAATATTAATCAAAATAGATTACAAAATGGGAACATAAAATGCAGATGGTAAATGACAATTATATTTATGACGTCACAACAACAACAATCCAATAGAAAAATCTGTAAACTCAAGGCCAATCAGATTCATTTCTACTAGTTACGCAATACGACGCGCGTTAATTCGACGTGTGCAGGGAGAGAGTGTCGCCATTTGTAGAATTTCGTCTTTCAATCTAGTTAATAATACGGTTGGATAAGAGGTGTAAGTTACTTGATACGAAAAATTCTAGTCGTTTCTAATGCCTAATTATGTGGGTAAGTCATGTTTGTTTACTATTTTCATATATTTGTTAAATTAATAACTTTATTTCATATATTTGATTTACATAGCGTAAATGTGCAAATATAATAACTTAGAATACATTTGGACGTAATCAGCAACTCGTGAATATACTATTTTTACAAATAGTATACTAAATACTACGGGTTAAACAGTAGTAGATCCGTGGAAAGATCACGTGGACATCTCGATTGCCGCGAAATAGACACGTACAGCAATCGTATACACGTGTTTGAATGATACACAGTATATACATTTATTTATTTTAAACTTTTAAATCTTAAGTAACCTGTTAAATATATGAATATTTAGGTACCATTTTATAAATCATTTCTTCTACATACTGTTATGGTTGTCCTTATTTAATATAAGATAACACTGAATTTAATTAAGAATATATATTTTGATTATTCAAGAATAAAATATTTTTAAAAGCATAATAATAAAATTAATAAAAAATTGATTTGTTCTCATGTACAATTAGAAGGTTGTTATTAAATTATATATATATGTATCTTGTTTTTCAACTGTTAAGTAAACCTAAAATTATGTTGTTATGAAACAGATCAAATAATTACATAGTATTATTAACATACAATACATAATGTATATAATAATGAGATGTTTAGTGTATGAATATATAAGTAAAATGCAAGATTATAAATCACTTTAAATATTTTATTTACTACTAATTAAAATTGAGTTATTTCATTATAAAGAATAATCCAATATATAATTATAAATTTTATTAATTAATGAAACAATTAAATAGAAGAAATGCAATCTGTAATAATTCCAATTAATGATGAATTTTAAGCTGATAATTAATTTGAATGAATTTTCTATAGTGAAAAAATAATTATCCATTCTATGTATTTTTTAAAATAAATATTTTTAAACAATTGATTCTGTATAATCAAATACAAGAATGAAAGTTATTGAGACTAAATGATAATATAAAATTTATAATCTTAAAATATATACATTATGTACAGAAATATATGGTTTTATATATATTTTTTTGAAGATAATTTTGATCCATAAAAAGTTTTATTTACGTATTTCAAAAGTATAAATCTTATATTAACAGGAAAATGTTTTATGTAATTATTAGATTGTACTGAAAATTTAAATTAAAATTAATTAAATGAAATATTGCAAAAATAATGAAAATTAAATTTTTTTTTTTTTTTTTTTTTTTGTTACTAGTGGTATATATTTCATATAACATATAACCACTCACAACTTGGTAAACTTGATAAAAACAGTGACAGAAACCAAAAACCAGCAGAAAAAAAGTAACAGAGTTAACGTTTTTGTCTGTGTTAAATGGGCATCCTCCAGCTCATCCTCATTTTTTTAGTGCTGAGAATGCCCGTTTAACACAGGTGAAAATGTTAGCTCCGTTACTTTTTTCTGCTGATGCTTAGTTTCTGTCGCTGGTTTTATATATATTTAATATAATAAATCAATAAGAATAATTATTTTAATTTTAAAATTGTATGGAAAGTAATTAAAAATAGTTTTTTGTTACTCATGACTTTTGTTTTTTAATGAAAATATAATTTAAATAGATATATCAATACTAAATTTTTAATATTTGAATTGATTTTTAATTTTCTGTAATGTGTACAATTTTTATTTAGTGGCTAACTCTGTTTTTATAAGCAATAATTTCTTAAATGTAATTGAATTGAATATAAGTATAACTAATTTAAAAATAAATTATAAAATGAACATACAAAATGGCAAACAAAAAGATCATTAAAATTTTGAATTTTTAAGTATATATTTTATTTAAATAAATTTCTCTGTAATTTTTAAATAATTTTATTTAAAAAATTATATCTGGAAGTTGATTATATTTATCAAAAATTGTTATATTAGATACAATTTTATATGAAACGTTTTAAATAAACCATTTTTTAAGAATTCATATTAAAAATAAAATAGGTACAGCTTTTAATTAAATTATTATTTAGAGTTAATGTGAAAAAAAATTAAATTATATTAATGGCAGAGGATGGTTCAAGTAGCGCCAAAAATTTTTTTCTTTTTAAATAAATAATTTCTGGTAATCAAAATATGCAATTATAGTCAATTTAATTGACAATATAAAATGCTTAAATACTTTTAAAATTAAAAAAGTTATTGATCATAATTTTCAGAATTTTGTATTAATAGTAATTCTTATAATATACAATACATATAAAATCTTAAAAGAAGTCAAAGTAATAATTAGATTAATAAAACATGTTTAACTAAATAAACTATTAGATAGAATGTAATAATTATAATTAATCTTTATAGAATTCAACATTATCAGTGTTACAAAGCATTTCTTAATTATATACTTTTAATATTAATCAAAGTTTATTAGCATAAACATATAAGAAATATTATAACTGTATAATTAATTATAAAAGTTTCAGATTTTTAATTGTTCATTTAGAAATTTTAATAAAGAAATTTCTTCGTGCATTCATTTTTAGGTGATTGTAAAAGTGATTATTAAATATCAAAGAATCATTTAATCTAAATTGATAACTTATCAATTTTGGATGTTCAAAATAAATATTTAATTCCCATTTTAGTATTTTAACTGTAGCATTATACTCAAACGTATTATTAAAAAGGGAAGCATTTACTTCCATAAAAATGCTTTTTAATTTAAAAACAACTGTGCACCCCACATATTAAGAGATAAAAATAGCTTGTTCCTTGATGGTGTTAAGTTCAAATACATTAATACTTCCAAAAGTTTAAAGATAAGTTTCTGTTTATCTTTTTGATAGCAGTGATATGAAAATAAATAAGTTTTAAAAATTAACAGGGAACATTAGAGGATTTTTCTTTATTTAATTTGCTGGTTATCAATTTATACTTAAAAATTTAGATAATGAAAATAGTTTAGAGATGAAATAAATGATCATATAATGATTATTCATTATGAAATTATTATTTTATAATTTTTTTTCTCTCTGTGATGCTGTAATTTTATTGAAGCTGATTTTTATTTTCGTGATTCTTAGCTCGCGATTGTATTTATTCTATTCTACGTCATTGAATTCTGTTCTGATTCGGCTATTGTATAATTCGCGAATTGCGATTCGAAATCGGAAAAATTCGATAAACAGTGTTGATTCGTAAAAACGTAATATACTCAAAGACAGGAGACATAAATAAATTCTAGCTTTTATAGCGTTATAAAGTTATAACGTAAGCTGCAATTTTCTTTCGAGTTTGGGAATTAGAAGGTTATTCTGATCAGAATGTCTTTCGAACATGAAGGCAGCATGGATAAAGAACTGACAAATGTTATGTTAAATGAACAAGATAATTTAGAAATGTATATTTTGCAAACTGTGATGGATAGAGAGACGACGATGGCTGTAGATACTTTGTGGTGAGTTTTCTTAGCAAATACAGTATACATAAGCTCGAATACGTTGGACGCTTGTGACAGTGTATATAGGCGAAGACGTTAGTGCATTTTTTCACTTTTTGACATAATAAATTTTCAGCGTATACTACTATTTTTCCAGAAAAGTTCGGAGGATGTAGCACCATCTGTCCTCCCCCACAGCACGCTATCGAACAGCTGTTGGGGCTTTCTAGTCCACCCAATTGTTCTACGTCCGTCTCGACCCCCAGTCGCCCCCTTCGATATTAGCATGACTCAGCTGGTGCAAAAAGCAGATGGAAAAAGCTCGTCGGGAAAGAGAAGCAGATGGCGGATTGTTTGAAACAGTTCCGGACGTCCAGGTGGACAAATACGTAGACCCTTCTCCAAAGCAACATTTCCGAATCTGGAGGAAGCTTCGGAATCGTTCATTTCCCTTTTACTCTTCGTTTATATCCCTTTTTATATATCTGAAACGACATGAGGGAGATAGGCTGTGTTTATTTAAAATGCTCTCCCACACACGGTACGATTAAGCTCTTATATGCACGATATCCTGCCGCACGCTAATATTTTCTAAAATATTATTTGTGTATTTAGATAACTCTCTTCATTATCGGCAGCTGCAGAGTAGGAGTTATCACTTTTTTAAATGCTAAAATTATTGCCAAGTTTGTTTTTTTCCCCCAGTAGGATTTCTATCAAAAAAATAATTTGTTCGTATGAAAAGAAATATCATCAAAACAATTGTTTAATGCAATCATTTTATTTTTTAAAAAAACATAAATTTATAACATCATCGTGTTTTTTTTAAATCTAGAATTAATCGTGATTTGCTTTTTCAGTCTGCAGATGCAGGATAATTTGAGTGATGAAGACGAATCGGATGATTCAATAAGTCAATGCAGTCAAGTTTCTAAACAAAGCATGGGTAAAACTCAACCAAGAAAAATAATCAATAAAGGAAGATGGTCAAAAGAGGAGGTAGGAAATACTAAAATGAGAATCTAAGAGGATAAAAAAAAATTAACATTTCAAAATCTTCTATTGTCGAGAATTTAACACATAGGAAAATGATTCTCTCTGTTTCTATTCAGAGAAGTGTTTTCCCTCTTTCAGAAAATTTTCTTAACCGTAATCGGATCATCTTAAGCCGGATGAAAGTTGTGGTCTGTTACAGAAACTATCATCTTGTGGATATAGGGATCTAACAATAGAAACGACTTTTTTATATATCGCTTCATATTCAAAAATGTAATAACTTTTATTTTCATTTCTAGGATGAAAAGTTGAAGCATTTAGTAGAAATACATGGATCCTCAGATTGGATAACGATATCTGGTTATTTTGCGGATAGAACCGAAGTGCAGTGTCAACAGAGATGGCAAAAAGTCGTCAATCCCGATTTGGTCAAAGGACCATGGACTAAAGAGGTAAGTAAAACACCTGATTAGGAAAAAATCACTATCAAAAGATATCCTACGGGTATCAAATCATTAGTAACTTCCGGTCACCTGCCCTCAGGTAATACAGGTGAACCAAAAAAGTGGCATTTTTGGCGCCAATAAGAAATGAAAAATATAAAGTAATTAATTTAAATTAATGTATATGGCATTTTTTTTTTTATAATAGTTATACGATATTTTTTCCCCCAGTTTTGTCTTTATATTATTTGGCACTCTCTTCAGAATATTAACAAACTTCTCTAGGGATTCTAAACGAGTTTATTTTCTCATACGTACTGAGCATGGGAATATACTCGTAAGATCGGTTGAGAAATGAATGGATATAAAAAAAAAATTATAATAATATTTACGTCAAAGAACTACACCCAAGTAGAATAATAATTGGCATCCAGCATTGGAATGGTTGTGATTTCCGCTTTCCCATCTCGGGATGAATGAATTGGAACCGATTCGCGCTTCTCATCGATTGTATTACGTCACAAGGACACCACCCGTCCCTAATTGGAACGAAGTGAAACAATGTGCTTTTGTGGGAAACTCCCCAGCCGGAAGTTAGTCCGTCCGGTTTTAGTCTGCACGTGCGAGGGGAAGAAAGGCGTTAATAAGTCGCGATTGTAAATCCCAAGTAACACCACCTGCGTTGTTCTCGTTTTCAATCACACCGTCCGAAACTGTCCTCCCCACTTTTATTCGCCTTTTATATATAAAAATATTAACAATTTTTTAAATTTAATAATTCAGATTTAGTTCCGAATTCTTATTAAATTAAATCGTCGTTAAATCATTATTTATATTGAATTAAATAATACTTCCGTATGTCCTGTTTCCTTTTAAACTTTCTTTTTTATTATCAATACCTATATTGCTTTTTTCTGTGTGCAATCTATTCAATTACATTTATTATTTAAAAATTTTACCTTAAATTATGTATCAAACTGTTATTTAAAGAGTTGAGCTTTTTATTGGTATTGCTGATTATATATTCCATTCAAATATTAATAATTTAATTTTATTATTATATTANAAAATTTAATATAAATATCATTGAGTTGTGTATAACTATGAAGACATTTTACGCTTGTTTTTAGCTAATAACGCGATTTTTTTTATGCCAGTCGCATCCGGTGTCGCCGTCGGCTTTTTTAATTACATACTGCTAAATAAAGCTATAAATAATTGTTACTTATTCAAGTATGAGAGAAAGAAATGGGAAAAAAATTGTTTTGTAAAAAATTAATTTAAAATTTGTGAGTAGTATCCACAAAACCACTACTGAAAAATAATTAATTTTAAATAACATTTGATAATTAAATGGAATACAGTGGGTGATCGGTTAACGATTAACGAACTATTCCGACTGCGAACAAATTGGATAATGAACACTTTTGCAAAAGATTTTCGTTTGGACAACACTTCACAGAACAAACAGAAAAAGAAACGACATAAAATAGTGAATACCGATTGGTCTTCCCTTGTCTCCAGGTGACAATTCAAAACCTTTCGGAGCTCTAAAAACGGCATCGCCACTCGACCCAATGCCTATCAGATAGTATTACTCTGAATTTTGAAACTCTTCTTGTAATTCCGTCTTTTTGTTTATCTTTCTGTCAAATAATTTTTTATACACTGTCGGGCAGGTACTCAAGTTTTGAGTTGGTTTTTATTTATGAAAGATGAGAGTTTAACTGTCTTATCAGATATTTGTTCACATTTTATTACCAAATTTTGAATTTCATCCGGGCCTTGTATTTAAATAATATTTTGTGGGCTTGTTGATTTCTGTTCTCTGAATTTTTGTAAGTGCTTTTCTGAACTTTTTATTTAAAAAATAAACTGATAATATTATGGAGCCTAAAAAGAGGAGTGTCAAGAACTGTGCTCACCGTAGAAACAAGGTAAGAGATAATAGCCAAGGTAGAAAGTGGGCAAAAGATGTCTGATGTTGCTAGGCAGTATGGCTTAAACAGGTCTACAGTAGGCACAATCTTAGCTATGAAAGATATATCAAGAAGTCTCAAGCAGCTAAAGTTATAATGAAAATTACATCTGAGAAATAAAGAATGTTGAAGAGCTCATAATGGAACCTGAAACAGGCTGATGACAGAAGAATGCCAAGAACTCTCAAATGAATAACACCAAGAAACTCAGTGCGATGTGTTTTCTTTTGAAAAAGAGGAAAATGAAAGAGGACCAATGTTGACATCTGCTATTAAAGATCTTTTGAAAAAGTGTGAGGATGCCAGAACAACAGTCATCCAAATGGCTTGGGGATCCTTACAATTACAATGCTATTAATTACTTCAAAAAAATCCTGAAGAAGAGAGAAAAGCAATCGACATTGGACAGATTCTTTAACCCTCACAAATGGAAAAAACATGACTAATAAAAATGCAAGACAGTGTATATATGTATTTTTGTTATTACATATAAATAAATGTAGTAAGAAAATATATATTTTTTATTTCTTGGAGTATCCAGAATGAATTAATCGAATTCCCATAAAAACCTGTGGTAAATTGATAATCGGATAGCAAACAAAGTCTTGGAACAGATTATGTTCATTAACCGATCACCCACTGTATATTAAACTTATTATTAAAGTGAAATTAATTTAATTAAGATTCATGATTAGAAAATTAAATTAATTCAATTAAGTTTTGTGATCAGTATGGCCCATACCACTACTACTAATGTATGAGTTCTAAAAATGTCATAAAGTACTTATTAAAACACCTTTATGAAAAGATTAGGACAAACAAAACACAAATGAACAAACAGGTGATGATAGTAGAGGTTAAGGAGATAGTTAGTGGCTTAGGTAATACTATATATAAAAATTGCAGGATATTATTTAGATGTTGAGAGGAACCTTTCAGTCATGAGCCAGCTAAGAATTAACAGGGCAGGAATAAACTAAATAAGCTATCAAAATCAGGCATAATCTTGTAATAAGATTAGCTAAGTTTAATGAAGATTACTTTTATACAGGTTAATTGCTATTAGGGTTAATTAACATTATAGATTGGCAGTTGGATTGGTGGTACTTTGCTATAACATGGTCTTGGCAGAAGTAGTAGTCTATTGGAACAAACCTTCACTAATTATAGAATGCAGATTAGGATTTTCTATAAGGCTTTTACAGCAAATTATATACTGTATATATGAGTTACCAAAGCAAACAAAGATTATAAATGCAAATGATTTGAAAGAGCTGCAAAATAGTTGGAAGTCTGTGTTGGATAAAACAGCCTTTGAGAAAATCATTAGCAAACTCATACAAGAAACTAACTAATTTAATTAATAGTTAAGAAAGATTATCTTGGATATGTTTTACTAGTAAATCCTTTAATATCTCTGTTACAGGAAGATAATTAAAGAAGGGTAGGTGGACTTAGAAGCTTAGAAAACAGCATAATAAATGTCTTAAGTTTTTTTGTAACTTATAAGTTTGGTTATAATGTATCAATTTTTAAAAAACTTTTCAAATAATATACTGAATTCAAGCACAACTGTCATTTTCCTTGAGTATTTAAATTTTGCTCTGTATATTTTCACTTTTAAAAAAATATTTTCAAACATATATACTGTATTTGAATGTTCTATTCCATATAACATTGATTTAAAAAAAAGCATTCCATATTTTCTTTTCTTCTTATATAGCTATGTATTTGGCTATTAATCTAGGACTTATCACACACTTTTTTTTTAGGAAACTTGGCTTGGGTCCTTTTTTTTACTTTTTTTATTAAATTCCAAGTCAACTATGTACTGTACATTTCAGGTTTTGTTCCCTCTCTTCAGTTGGAGTAATACATTTAAAACAATAATGTGGAAGATGTCCGAAACTAATAGCCAAATACGTAGCTATATAAGAATAAAACATTTGATACTTGTTTATTTATTTTCCTTTTTGCAAAATAAGCTAATTTAAACTATTAATTAAATTATAATTAGATTAAAATAAACAATAAATAATTAATTTTATTATTTATTTATTGTTTATTTTAATCTAATAATAATTTAAAGAATGATAAAAATTAAATTTAGCTTTTAAGTAAATTAAAAATTAAAACAAACAGTAATAAATTTTATTATTTATTCCAATGTATAAAAAATAAATAAAAACAATGGGATCGGTTATTTATAAATTTTAATAAATTAAAAAGTCTAATTAATAACCATTGATGAGGCTGTAAAGTGAAATGCATATGGTGAAAAGTTTAATAAAGCAAGAGAAGATTGATTGTTAACTTCAATTCTTTCCACTTGTTTGCTTTGAGTTTCTTCGAAGTCGGGAAAAACTGAGTAATTTTTACTCGTTAGTTTAAAAGAGTACTTTAAGTATTTTTTTAGACTTTTTAATTTATTANATATGATAATTACTGCTTTTTAGCAATTAAAATAATGTAATTAACTATTAAGATTGTTTTGTTTTTTGAAACCGTGTCCTGTTTTATATTTGTGGCATAGTAAACACTAGTATTGTGTTTTTATTCCAAAGACACATGGCAAATTTTCCATCAAATACCTTTATTAGTTGAGTCTTTGGAATAAAAACACAATACTAGTGTTTACTACGCCACAAATATTAAGAATATTTTAAATGTAATAAGCTTAGAAACTGCTGTAATAGATCAAATAATAATAGTTTTTCACTGATTTATTAAGGCAGTCTTTGTGCCTTAATAGGTACAGAAAACAAAAATATTTGATTTCTGAACTATTGATCTTATCTTTTTAATTTAAATCTCAATGTTAGTTTAAACTTTTTAATAATTTGTTTCATTTATTGAAAGATTGTTGTTTTGTTTCTTTCCTCAATGACTTCTTTCTTTTATCTTTCTTCATTTTTTTTTTTTTTATTTATTTGAATGTATATATTGTTATCTAGACACTAATCAACTGATTAAATTTATTAAGAGCCGCCTGTTATCATTCTACCTCATTCCATCTATATAGAGGAAATAATCAAAGCCATAGAAGAGGAGCCAGAAATTATAATAAATGTCAGAAACAGAGAATTTACTGATACTAATCATTCTAGCAGAAACCAAACAACAATTAGAAATCACAGTTAACAAGGTTAATAGTGCTTACCTTGTGTATGGAATAAAAATAAACTGTAATAATACAAAAATAAATAGTGAAAATTAGATATAAATTAAGAATAATATGATGTAGATTGACATAAAACAATATAATGTAGAATTGCAACTAAATAAAAAAAGAGGTGATAAGCCTGTATGATAAAAGCTAAAAAAAGTAGACATAACAAAGCTGAATTCAGTAAAAATCAGTGTTAGGATTAGTAAATGTCTATCTGCAGATTCTGAACAATATCTTTGTTATGACTTCATAAATCTTAAGTTGTATTGTTCTGTGTGAATCCATTTATTCCTCATATAATCAAATGATGACTAGCAAAACTGATACTGTTGACTGGTTTTTTCCTTCTCTTCCTTTTCCTGAGTTTACGCCTATAGTAATTCTGAATCTCTCTTTCAAAAAATAATTGTTTTCTTAGGTAATGTGCAAAATTTCAGGTTTTTTTATAAAGGGTTTGCTGAAATATAAGCAATCAAAAAGTGCAAAAATCTCTAGAAAAACTGTATTTTCTTCATCCAGTACTGCAGACACTCATAGAGAAAAAACTATGTCTAGAAAGCTAGGATTTTAAACTTAAGTTTTTTTTTGTTATAGTGTATTATGGGTCACTGATAAACTGATGTGCAAAATCTTAATTTTTAGCCAAACCTCTGTTACTCTGAGTCTGAATTTTTTCCCTGAGCAATTTGAGTTAACCAGGTTCCACTGTATAATAAAATGCAACACAGAAAAGTGTGTCATGAAACAAGGGAGATAAAGTGGCAAAGGGGATTGGACAGTTCTTATTAATTTACAGGACTACATTACATCATTTGCCATATTTGTTTTAAAAATGCTGTGTTAGTTATTCAATATTATGAACTTAAGAGAATAATCTGTTGTAATCAATAATCTAACAGCAATAAAATTTTTTGAACATTTTAACTGTCCAGCCTCCTCATGATTACCTTTCATCCCCTCAATTTGAGGGCAGGTGTTAATGAACTAGTCTGATGAAAACCAAATGCATAAAATGACAAATAATTCTAACTTAAATGTTAGTTTTTAATTTACATTTTAATAATTCTGTTTTTGTAAGAGATAATTTTTTATTAAATTTTTTCCCAGTTCACTAATGTTTTATAAAATTGAGTAAATTTATTAAAGGACAGATTTAATAAATTTATATTTTCCTAAGTCATTATAGGATTTATTTTCTCCCCTCTTTATTGGTCCTGTAGTTTTAGTGTTATAGATTAACAACAGGATAAATTATTTTTATTTAATAAATGTTTTATTTTCATTATTCGCCAATTCTAAAGAGATATTTTTCTCTAATTAACAATTTTAACCAATTAAGATTTTTTTTGAAAAACTGAAAACACCAATTTATTTGAAAGATCATAAATTAAGAAAAGAAAAAGAAAATAAATTAATAAATATATACAAGTTAATCATTTTTTATAATCACTTTATTTGTTTATGATTTCTCATGTTATACACAATCTTTTAAAGGGGTTCAACTGATAAGAGTACCTTATTACCTTGAGTAATAACTGTATACTGGATACTCCAGTGTACTCAGGTAGAAAATCTAGTGTACCTGACATTTAGTACTAACTAGTATCAATACATCGGAGCTTCACAACTGCATGTACTGTCGTTTTATTATTGCTCTTCTGAATTATTCTCCTGATGCATACTTACTATTTCTGCAAATTTGAGAAGCTTTTATATATAGAGAAAACACAAATATGATTGTTTAATGTAGTGTTATGTGAATCAGTTTTCTTCCTTGTCCTCTTGTTTTTTCATATAAACTAGCTGGATACCACTGCTTTTTCCATGTGTGAAGAACAGTTTTAATTAGTTATGATAAGTGTCTCCTTTACAATTATTTGTTTAAAAAATTTTTAAATTTAGTGATATAGGATAGTAGTTCATATTGCCAACCACTTCCAGTTGTCAACCATGTAAGCTGATATTCATGCGTAATTAGTGCATACAAACAGGTTTAGACGAGCCATCTTTACAGGATGCATCATAAGGATCTTTACAGGATGCATCATAAGGATCTTTACAGGATGCATCATGATTCCATTCTCAATGGCGTGTAAGAATAACGGATTGCCTCACTCACAGGGATGGAAAAAATTAGCATAATTAATGCATTATTTAATTAATTTTCGTATTTAATGGGAAAAGGTTCAATCTGTTATAACAATAAAGTAAAATTTACTTAAATTATGTAACAACAAGGACATAATCTTAGTTAGGAGTATAAAAAGTTTTCATTAGAATATCAAATTTATTATAATTTAAGCTTATTATAATTAATTATTATCAGTAATTAAAATTTAATAAAATATTTATAATTATTGTTGTTTTTATGCAATTTAGGAAGATGAAATGGTTATGGATTTAGTAAAAAAATATGGTCCAAAAAAATGGACTCTAATAGCTAAGCATTTAAAAGGAAGAATAGGAAAACAGTGCCGGGAAAGGTGAGTTATAATGTTAAAAATAGAATTTTAAAGTTTTCTAGTAATGATAAAATGAGAAATAAAGTATTGATGAGAAGTTTACAGTAAATTTGGAAAACAAAGGTAATTATAAATGAAAATTAAAAAAAAGGTTGTTTGAAACTTGTTTGAAACCGAAAAAAGTATTGTTAATGGATGTGATTGACAATAAATTATTAGTGTTTATGTAAACACTAATAATTATAAACAGTATATAACACTATTAATACTATTTATTGTTACATATGTGAATTATAATGAAAACTAAGGAAATTTTGTTATGATTTACTATTAAACAATGAAAGTGAAACAGTGGTGATATTCTTTCAGCTTTGTTTTCGTATGAAGAATTTTTAATTTCTAAAAATAATGAATATAAAAAAATATTGATGCTTTAATATAACATTTGTAGTCAGAGATAACATTTGGAAAACATTAATAGAAGTTTTTATTTATGCCAGATGCATACAAAATATGTTAAATATATCAATTATGATGTGTTTAGGACCACTTCTTGATTTGATGATTTTAATAAATACAATTAGGAAAGAATTGTGATGTATATTCCATGGGAACTATTAAGAAACATTGTAACTGACATGCCTTATTAATTCATATTAATGTAAAAAAAATTTTATGCTAAAATAGAACTATAGGAAATTATTGTTAATTCGAAATCCTGTTAGATTGTAATTGAATTTTTGTCCTGGCCGGGGATATAGAGATTTACATGTTAAGAAATTTGGTTAGTTCGAAATATAGCAACTTCAAAATTTGAAGTGAAAATTCTGCCCAAACTGTGATATGCTTATGTTAACTCGTTAGTTTAGATCGAAGTGCTGCCATGCTATAAGAGAGCAATAGACTCTAATCTGGTCAATATGGCTTTGCTTTTACAATAACACATTTTCAGGTGTCACCTTATCCTTGAACCATCCTTTTTTCTCTTATCTTAAAATATGGCTTGTTTTTGGGATTGCAAGATTGGGCCATGAGTAGCAGATTGATATATTTGTAGGGCTCTAGGCTGCTACATTTGGATGTCTTACTACTGTTTGAAGCCACTTTAAAATAATTTGGGCTGCAATTCAAGGAATTATGCTTTACTTTTTATAAAACCTATCTGGAAACTTGTGGGGTCTCACTAGACACATGCTGTTTGCCTTCACATTTATATCATTGTTATTAATTATAATAATTAACAAACATTCTGTATATGTATTTGTATTCTGTTTGCTTAATAAATTACATCAGTTATGTGACATTTGGCTTATTGTACAGAAATATGTAAATCTCGGATACAATAAGACCCCACTTAACGCTGCCTCACTTAATGCTTATTCGATATAATGCGGTCTGCTTGAAGCCTAAAAGAAGCTCAAGATTTGCACTGATTAAATTATTGCAGCATTTAATTGATTCATATATAATATGATTATTTGTGAACACAAACCATTCAGCAAAAGGTGGCAAAAAGGTGTACTTTTTTTAAATCTATGTTTGTTTGGTGCAATTTTGGAAAAAATATAACATCATGGATGTCATAGGAAATATCAACTTGGCTTGGCAAGAATTAACTGATAAATACACAAATGTGAAAGAAGTTATGGTTGAAGGTATTCAAGAAAACTCAATGAGAGGAGCCTATCGCTGTATTGTTAAGTTGACCAAACTCAACCTAATCGATATAGCAGGACTAGGAGATATAGACAATTAGAATATTGAAGAGTTACAGCAGGTTTCTGGTGAGAGCCTTACCAATGACGACCTTTAAGAACTGGCAGAACATGGAATTTATGCGGAACTGGAAAACAGAGATTCTCAAAAAGGAAGAACCCAAAAAATTTCTCTACAGATTTCCTTAGTAAAAGTTTGATAAGATAACTGAAATCGCAAAAAAAATTGATCAGATTGTAGCAAATGATCCAGATTTTGAAAGGAGTCAAGAGCAAAACGAGGCATTTTGGATGCAATCTTCTGCTACTGACATTTACTTAAGGAAAGAAAAAAGCAACAAATGAAACTTCACAACTTTATTGCAAAAGAATAAGAATTTCAGAAAAGTCAGGTCCTTCATCACAAAAAATGAACTTTACATTTCTGTGTGCATGTGTTTGTGTTATTAACATATATTATTGTACAAATTAATATAAAAATAACTTAAAATTAAACTAAAATTTGTGTATTTTTGGTTGCATGTTTCCCTATCTCTATTTACTCTATATTAAAATGACCTCGTTTAACAATGTTTTGCTTAGCTCTTTGTTGTCTAGGAATGTATCCTCCGCGTTAAGCGGGGTCTTACTGTAATTCGAAACTCAATAATTTGAAGTCGTGATTATTTCATCTCTTGAATTTTGAACTAACAAGGATTTTATATATGTTTAAAATATTATTCAGCTGCATTATACAAGTATAAGCTTGTAAAGGTGAAATTTACACATTTTGAAATAACTTTATTGACAGTTAACTCATTGATTACTGTTCAGTCTGGTAGGTAATTGCCATCAATGCCAATCACATCATACCACCTTTGCTGCAAACTTTCAGTCTTGAGCATGGATGACTGGAGTTTTTCTTCAAAGAAAGTCTTGAGTGTCATTCTCATAACAGCAAAGTATTACTTTATTGTATTCCTGATAAATAGAACATAATTTATAGAGAATTTAATTTATTTTGTTTTATTTTTATTTTTCAACTTAATAGAGAACATTTGCTAGGATGATGTGAACTACAGAATATTTTATAATCACGCATGCTTTTACTGATGTTTCCAGATTATAGAAATTTTAAAAATTAGATGTATTTGATATACTAATTCAACAAAATTCAGGAATTTCTATAATAGTCTACCATTAATTAATTAATTAACTGCTAATCATCACAGACGATGTCAGCATGCTGACTTTTCCTGGAACTTGCAGTTACAGCTGAGCATTGACTCAATCTTAGCTGTGATTCAATGACTGTATGCATGTATCTAATTTAACATTATCTCACAGAATTGTACAAAATCAATATGACTTTTGTATTTTATTATATATTTGATATCAGATTATTTTTTTATAAATTGAAGTTGTTAATATTATGACCTCGCTTGAGAAAAATTTGTTTTCTTATTTTTTATTACTTTATTAGATTAAACAAATAAATAGATCAACTGATTTTTTATTAAGAAAGAAATTCATTTGGCAGTCAGTATTTACAGTATAAAAATACTTTAGTAATAAAAGTAATAAATAAATACTTTTATTCTTTTCTAAAAACACTTAAATAATGGTAAAAATATATAAACACTAACACTATTTTAGTAAATGATAACATTAAATATAAATGTATAAAAGTTAGAATAAGATATTTGAAATGCTATATTTTTTGCTGCTTTTAATATTAAACTTTATCTAATTAAAATTTAGTTTGTTTAATTAGTAATTAAAAATATTTCAGATGGCATAATCATCTAAATCCTTCAATCAAAAAAACTGCTTGGACACAAGAAGAGGAGTCTATAATCTGTCAAGCTCATAAACAATGGGGAAATCAGTGGGCTAAAATTTCTAAATTATTGCAAGGCAGGTAAGGATTTGGACACAACTTTTTCCTTTTATACATGTATTAGTTTGAGTAAAATAATTAGAAAATTTGATCAAGTATACAATAATTTTTTACCTAATAATTAAGATCCGTAATCTTGAATTAAACTGTCACTGCAATTATGAAAACTTCAATTTTAACATTTCTGTTTTAATTGCTTTTTTTGTGTAACATAAAAATATTTTTTATATTACACAAAAAAATATGTGTATAAATATTACGTACATTTATTTATTTATTTATTTTTGACTAGTTGAAAATTTGAATGAAATTTAATGAGGAATAAATTTTTTTAATGTTAAAATATTTCTTTTGGATTCAATGAAATGAAATTTTGCAACTAAAATATTAACAATGTTAGTTGTGAAAACATTAGTAAATTGTTATTCAAAAGAACATGTTTATTCTATAATCACCTGTAACATAATAAATCTGAGTTATGTTAGAGGTGATATAAATTCTGCTGAGTTGTTTTTGTTGCTTATGACAAAGTCAAGTATCAGAAAATAATATTAAAAAATCTTGTGGTGGTATTGTTTGAAGTTAATGGGCTAATGAAAGGTAATAAAAAAATTTTTTAATGTGGTTTCCTTGCATGCGTCACCAATCTGGTATACAAAAGAATTTAAAATTCATTGAAAGAGATATTTATTTGAAGAACAATGATTTAAAATGTTTTTCTGAAATATCTTTTTATAATGAAATTTGACAGTTGGATAGCTAAGGCAGATAAAGGAGTTAGCCTTCTGCTCTATGGAGTCCTGAGATTGAATCTGGACAAGCAATCCCAGGAATTTTTCATGTATGGTTTGTCCTGTATATGTTGGGTGCTGTTCTTCACTACCCAGGACTCCTGTTGTGGATCTGGCTGAAAAAAGGCCCCATTTGTATTCACATGATGGAAAAACTTAAAAATGGAAAAAGCAATGTAATTTGTTTGAATTTAAAACATTCATAAACATTAAATTGTACATATGATAGAACTTATTTCTTTATTTGAAAATTTAATTTTGCATATCTGTATAGATAATTAATGAAGTTCATATAATTTGTATAATGACTAGAAATTTTAAATAAATTTTCTGATATTTTTATATGTTTAACAGCAGCTTTGAATTTGATATTTTGTTATTCCTGAACTTTCTCAAATTGTTTATTTGAGGATTTGAAGTCCACAGCACCTAATTCAGACGTAAACTGTACGGCTTTGGCATGTATGATTGATTAACCTTGATACAGGAACATTCTAACTTCTTCTGATTTTGTAGAACCATTTTATGACTTTTGTCATTGAGAGCCCTATTCTCACTTTGCAACTGTTGGATTTGCTGCGTATTGTCATTACAAGGTAGTAGACTTACAAGACTTAGTAGCTTATTTTATTTCTTGCCAATTTCCACAGCTTAAATTTTCACATTCTTGGACACTTGCTGATTTTTCTCATTTCATATATTTCTTCTTTATGATATTCAATAATTTCATGTTTTTTGTTTAATATCAGCAAGTTGTAAATTGATGCAAATTAAAATTTGATAAAAACCAAACTACACCTTAATACAATAGAGAACAAAGATAAACTAACATTTTTGTTCTCTACTGGATTAAGGTGTTGTCTGACATTTTTATTATTAATAACAATTCAGTATTATATAATTGACTTGCTGTATGTTAGATTTCAATGTAAAACCATCTCTAATCCAAAACAATGTGGTATGACACCTTTAGAGGAGAGAACAACAGGTACAATAAACACCCTATCCATCCTCCACAGATGCCTTATTTCCTGGGCGAGTTCTGTGTACTTGCTGATTTTTTCAGTGCATGTGTTTTGTACATTGTGAGTGTATGGAACAGATATGTCTATAATGTATGTGATTTTATTGTGTTTCTCAATGAGTGTAATGTCTGGTGTGTTGTGGTAAATTGTTTGATCTGGGATTATGGCTGTTGTAGTACATTTTGTACGTGTTGTTTTCCAATACTGTCTGTTGAACATATTTGTAGTATGGTTCGTGAATGTCTAATAATTTGTGTTTCTTTGCAAGCTCTTGATGTATTTGCTACTTGATTATGTCTATGTAAATTATCTGTCTGTGCCAAGAGCTTGCAACCAGAAATGATGTGTTGTATGGTTTCTGGCATAATGTGACATTTTCTGCATGTGTCGTTTGTGATTGTTGTATCTTTGAGTATGTGTTTTCTGTAGTTTTTAGTATTTATGTCCTGATCCTGTATGGCAATCATGAATCCTCTTGTCTCTGCAAAGAGGCATCCCCTAGCTAATCACGCAGTTTTGTCAACAAAATCCTGGGCTAGGTCATAGGGATGTCTGCCATGGAGTATCTTTTGCACCCATGATTGCTTAATGGTGTCTATTCTATTTATATGTTGTGAATGTAAATTTAATAGTGTATTATTTGAGTCTGCTAGAATTACTGCTTTATGTAACTGTGATATTTCTTGTTTTTTGTAGAAAAACTCTTGCAATGTCTGTATTTGTTTGTAGTGTAGGTTAACTATGTCAATCAGGCCACGCCCGCCATCTTTAGGTGGAAGAGTTAATCTTTCTATGGCAGATTTAGGATGATGTTGTTTATGCTTAGTAAGTGTTCTTGTTTTCATTTGGAGTTGCTCACGATCTGTATGAGTCCAATGTATATAACTCCAAAAGAATAAGTGAGTACTGGGATGACATATGTGTTTATTGCTTTAACATCATCTTATTTCATCAGTGAATGAAATAGAAGCATAAGAAACACAACTGTGATAAAAATATATAAATAAAGCCTGAAATTAATAGAATACATAAAAGTTCATGTCACACCTTTCATCTTGTGATGGCACACCAGTGTGTCGCGGAACACTGCTATATATGATAGTGGACAAGTGGATGAACAATTTGCCATTGGAGCAACTGCAGCATGTTTGGTACCAGAGTATGGCATGTCAGTATGTTCCTGGGCAGACATGAATCAGACTCATCAAGGAGTTTGACAACTGATGTATAGGATAACAAGATCATGTTCCATGACTTCACTCCACTAAATTTTTTCCTTGGGGTCATTAAGCATCAATGTATGACATGTACCCAGCAATCTTGTGTGATGTTGATGAGTTGGGGATGTGAATGTAAGAGGCATGCAAGACAGTGACTCCAGATATATGTTACCCATAGTCAATCTCAACTTTCTACACTTTTCTAATGATACTAAATATGGTTGTTTTGAACATGTACTTTAGCATAATGAAGCTAACAATTTTCATTTTAATTTATACAATATTAGTTTTTATCTTTTCTAGTCAGAGATTCTTTGCATGTTATACTAAATCTTCTTAAAATGATTTTCTTCCATTGTCCTCATGCTTGAAAGAGAGATGGGAAATTTATGTATTACTGTGAAACTAATGTATCATATGCAATGTTGGAAAGATTTTTTTTGCACCTGGATAAATGTTAAAGTGAACACATTACGTTTGAATTTTTTTTTTAATAAGCTTGTAAAGACCTTAATTAGTCTGTTGTATTTAATGATATATTTATTAAATTACATAATTAATTTAATTTTAATTGTTAACAATTTCTTTTGTATTAATTTTGAATAAATCAAGCCATATTTTTTGTAATTTTTGTAAAATATAATTAATTAACCATAATTATAAAAATATATTTTATAGAACAGATAATGCAATTAAAAATCACTGGAATTCAACTTTAAAAAAGAGGTTAGAAAATGAAGTGGAGGAGTATACAAAAAGAAGAAAAAGTTCTCAGTGCCCAACTATTATTACTTCTGAAAGTAATAAAATGGTAAATATTTTATTATATTCTAAAAATTAATCTTACTGTAAATCATAGGATGATTATGAATAAAATTTACTATAATACTAGCAAAATTACATTGTCAATTTTACTATTATTAGTGCTTATTTTTTAACAATATTACTATTATTAATTTTATTGTGATACTACATAATATTTACATTAAGAAGCCTATTTTTTCTTTTAAGATTAAAAAAGTAAAAATTTAAGAGGACAAAATAATTCTCCATTTTTTTGTTTGCTACAAGACAGTAAATATTTACAGTATATCTGCTTATATTTTCTTATATGTACAGCACACATTCCAAATTCAAATGTTGTCTAGAACAAAATAAGGAACAAGGCAAAATATTTAAATTAATTTCAATAATTTAAGAAATATAGCATCAGAAGAATTTAATTTAATAAAATATTGCAATTTTTAATACAACAGTTGAAAATTTAACAAAATGAAATAAAATTGACAATAGTCTTTAAAAAGACAATATAGATTAATTCTCTATAAAAAATATAAAATGTTGAAAGCAAAGATAATTTCATAAAATGATTATATCATGAACTGATTGTCTTTTGGTGCTATGATTTTATTGGGTGTGTTTACTTTTAGTTCTGATCTCTCCCCTAGCGCGCTCAGTCTGTATACTTTTTGTTAGCTACCAATGAGCTTGGCGTTTACTTTTCATATCCGTGACGTCATTGCTAGCATTCCTAGCACACTCGGAGAATTTACAACGAGCTTGGAGTTTGTTCAAAGATGGTGGCGTTCATCACTGTGTATACTTTTAGCAGCGTGCTAGTATGACGTCAGGCTGTGCTAGGTGTCAGCTCGGTGACCTTGGAAGCAAGCAAAAGTAAACGCACCCATTAAAAGTTGTAAACATTTTAACAGAGTGAATCATACTGGAGTTGTAGAGAGCTATGAGTTTTGCATGTTTGATATAGGCAAAAGGCATTATTGCATTTTGGGTGTTTTATTAGGTGGTCTGAAGAGGAATGAAAAGAATACAACACCTTTTGCATAAGTACAAATTTTCCTTGGAGTTTAACTTGGCGCTACTTACAGTTGGATTTGTAATGTCATTACTTAAGGGTGAGCACTGTGCTCACCTTACATATTTTCATATTTTTAATGATTTGTCTTGAGAAATTTTACTTAGATCAGAAGATTTATTATGAGTAATACACATTTTAATGTTTACCTTACTTTACTTCGGTTAGAATATATTACAAATAAACATACAAATGTAAATAAAATTTTAAAATAGAAAATCCAAAAGTGTTCTCTAACTTTGTTCTGCACGCACACAAGAAATTAACGGTTTATGTCAGATTCGACCCTGTTTCTTAGAGGTTAGTTGTCTGCCTTAATATGTCAAACTTTTAAAAACATCCCTCTTGCAACAGCACAATTAAAAAATAATAAATACATGTGATAAAAATTGCCAGGACAAATAAGTTTAAACATTAAAAGTAATTTTCAGTATAGAAGCAGAAATTTGATTGATCAGATCAATAAAAACAGAAATAAGATATCTGAAATTATTATTAAACTTAATTATAATTTTTATTCAAGTTCTGAATCTGTTTAGTCTGGATTTTTAAAATTGCAGTGTTGGCAGATTGTTATTATGTGGTATCTGAAGATTTTTGCGGTAAGCTACATGTTACACTCTTGGATGCTGTTTTCCTATTCTTTTTTTTTTTGGGCAATATGCACACTTTTCTCTTGATACTGACATTACCTGGGGAGGATCTGGTTTTTTTCTCAACACTTCCAGGATTTTCATATGCCAGATCTTCACTCTCATTTTCTATGAGAAAGAAACTTACATTTTCTTCCTCAACTCCTCATCAAGCCATTTCAGAAACGTTTTATGATAGTATGTATATACAATATCACTTTGCAATTAGAATTGTACCACTTCAAATGTGAAGAAAAGACACAGGATTACTTGCGGGTGAGTGCTGTGCTAACTTGACCAACATGACTGAAACAAAGACAACACTGCAAGTGATAGCAATGACTATTATTTCCAATTCCAGTATCTTGTTGAAGGGGGTACTTAGGAAGGAAGATAGACTAGAGTTTGGCTACAAAACTCAAGAACCCCCAGTTACAAGCATTTTAAAACAAAAGATTAATGCAGCGTTCACCCTTGAGTAATGGTGGGTTAAATAAAGGCATTCAAATAACCAGTATAGTATGGCTTTCTTATTTAAAGAATATACAGTATCTGTCTACTGAGAATTTCCATTGTAATATGCAGGAAGTGAGTGAGATTAACTTGTAAAATATATTTTATTAGTTTGCATATCACTAGCATATGTTATTTTAGTACAGTGTACTAGAGGTTATCAAATATGTTTATATTCAGCAGGCTGAAAAGCCTACAACTCTTAAGAAAATAACAGCAGCCAGCCAGAAATCTATGAAACTCAGTTACAACCTGATCCAGAAAAGATTGCTCATCACTGATTTACTGCAAACTGATTTTAGATGATATCTTTCATATATCATTTTAGATTTAGCAGTTATTGTGAAAATATTTTATATTCCTACTTGGTTATGTTAAAATCAGGGATGAGGAGTTGACAGAAAAATACCCATCTCCCAAGTCGGTAGTTTTTATTTTTAAAATTGACTCTGACTTCCAACTCCTATAAAAAGTTTTGACTCTTAACTCCACCCATCCCTGGTTAAAGTTGGTAAAATTTTTTGTAAATCAAATTATTGATTTTAATTATTTTAAAAAGAAATAAATACAACTTTAGTAATCATAAATTTTGTTCTTTTATTTATAATGAATTTATCATGATTTTTATTACAGAATTTGCCTTATTTGGCTATTTAAATCTATGTGTATAAATTGTTTGAATTTTAAAATGACTTATGATTTCATATTTATATATATAAAAATTATATATTTTATATGATTTTTATATATATATTGTAGAACATTGGTCTCCAAACTTTTTAGCCTAAGAGCTATACTGACTCCTCTACTAAGTCCCAAGGGCCAAGACCTAGCTAGCTCATCATACCAATATACTGTAGTTTTTAATTATGTGCAAATTTTCGTTTTGGGACTAGCCGGCAAGTGAGATATCTATGGTGCAGTGGTGGACTCTGCTCTGATCGCAATTTCAGTTGGTACTTACAGGCAAGTGTACAGGACATTTCATTGTGGTGCAGATAGCCAATGTGCATGCTGTGCATTACGTATTGTTACAACTACTTACAACCATGCTAAATGTATATTAGTTACATCTTGCAGAGAGTAGAGAAGTTAAGTGCAGGACATAGCAAAGCTACAGTAGTACAGCGCCATCTTGTAGGGAGCAGCAGAGCTAGAGCATGTTCTGGAAAAGATCTGTTGTGTGATTGCTTGTCTGGAAGATTTGAGTACTTTCAAGAGTTTTTGAATATGTTCTTCGCACTGAGGATGCATGGTACAAATATGGGAGACAACTGAGAGTTGGACAGTTCCAAAGTTTGAATTCAAAGTAACAAGTTTGATCTGGAAAGTGAAATATAGTGCGACTAGTGTGTTTTGTGACTATAGTTTCTTAGTGAAAATACGGTGTGCTTAATTGTGAGTGTTTAATTTAATTAAAAATTTCTTAAAGATAAATCTAGTGTATTTTGTTTACTCAGAATCCCTGCTCTTAATAGTATTAATTAATTGGCCGAAAATTAATTTGAAGATGTAGTCTGTCCAAAATTGGTAACCACCATTTATTCACTTCTTGTGTTCCAGAATACAAACGATGATGACCAGTTCCAATTTTAACTTTGTAATTTTAATTAGATATTTTTCTATGTTTTTTAAAGGAATCTTTTTAAACTTGATGGCCAAGAAGCCTAAAAAGAAAGGTCAGGTCATCAATTGTTTGTATTCTGGAACACAAGAAGTGAATAAATGATGGTTACCAATTTTGGACAGACTACATCTCCAAATTAATTTTCGTAAAATTGCCATCCGACAAAATTCTACAGTATTAATTGGCATTATTTTGATTTAAAGTTATGTCACTGTTGTGTGGATTTGTATAAATAATGGAAAAGAAATGAGATAGATAGTGAGTGCAGAATATTTAAAGAGCAATGGGGATATCAATATTTCATGGTTGAATCAAGTAATAAGGCAATGTGTATAATTTGCAATGAAACAATACCAGTCCTCAAAGAATACAATATAAAATGTCATTATGAGACTAAACTTTCTCAAAATTACTCCAAATTTACAGAAAGCTTACAGTTAGAAAAATATGAATCTTGAAACACAGGTTGAAATCTCAGCAATTGTTTAAGAAAGTAAATGCTGAACAAGAAGCAGCAATTCTTGCTAGTTTCCACGTGGTTCATTCAATAGCAAATCATGGGAAACCATTTACTGACGGTAAATTAATTAAGGATTGCATGATTGCAGCAGAAGAAGAAATGTGTCCAGAAAAAGCTAATTTATTTAAAAGTATCTGTCAGCAAACACTGTGGCTCAAAGAGTAGATGATATTGCAGAAAATATATTAACTCAATTGTCTGACAAAAATCTACACTTTATGAAGTGTATGAAGATCTTGACATTCATAGCATTCATGGCATGGCTACTGGAGAAGATATTTTTAAAGGAGTTAAAAATGCTGTTCAGAAAAACAATCATCAATGGAAAAACTTGAAGTGTATCGCTACTGATGGTGGCAAAAGCATGTGTGGAAAAAATAAAGGTGTCATTGCTCTTGTATTGAAGGCCATAGAAAATGACGGTGGTTAAAAACCATTAATCATACATTGCATCATTCATCAACAGTCTTTGTTTGGAAAATGCTTGGATATGTCAGAAGTTTTAAAGCTAGTCATGTCAGCTGTTAATTATATCAGATCACATGTCCTCAATCATTGTCAATTCCATGAGTTTATTGGAGAGATTGGAGAAAATGACTAAGCCAGTATACTGCAGTATAATATGGTTAGCTGTGGAAAAATTCTAACATGATTTTTTTGAGCTCCGGGCAATAATTGAAATGTTCTTGAATGAAAGGAATCGTCCTCTGGCTGAGTTACAAAACAATGAGTGGTTATGGAAATTATAATTTTATACAGATTTAACTAAACATATGAATGACCTTAATTTAAAATTACAAGGAGAAAACCAGCTTATGCCTGATTTATACACTCATATTAAGTCCTTTTGACAAAAAATTGTTTTGTTTCAATCTGAATTGAACAAAAAATGTTTCACACATTTTAATATGTGCCAAACATTCAGTCAGCAAACTGAGACTCCATTTCCAGTAGATTTCACAATTGAAGATTTGGGTGTTTTAAAAATAAATTTTGAATCTCGTTTTTCGGATTTTGATGCAATTGCAAATGATATCAAGATTATTCAAAATCCTTTTAATGCCAATATAGAAACATTCGCCCCAGAACTTCAAATGGAAATGATTGATTTGCAGTGGAGAGATATTTTTAAAGAAGAATATTTAAAGTCGTCATTGCTGGAATTTTATAAGTGTCTTCCACTCGCACGGTTTGATCAGTTGCAAAAATTTGCTTGTGGCATTTTTTCTGCTTTTGGCACTACTCATTTGTGTGGAAAACATTCTCCAAAATGAAATATACAAAACATATTTACAGATCCAAATTAAATATAACATAATTTGTCTATTGTTTATGAAACAATTTAACATTGTTATTAAAAGTTTTGTACTTCAGAAATTGAATGTTATATTAGATATTAGAATATAACATTACAGTTAAAATAAAATAAATGACATTTATGTATGAAATAAATAAATTGTGAGATCCGAAAGGCCCTGGGTCTAATTAGTGAATTTTTATTAAATATGTTTAAATATAGACACGAAAAATTACTTCGTTTTTGTGAAAAAAACATTGTTTTAGACGTGGGAAAAACCAGATAACAAATGTTATTTCCTTTCATCGAAGAGAACATCCTCTGTTTTTCCGTATCTGGTTAAAAATCTCGCTCAGATGGGAAATGGTTACCCCTCGTTCATCCCCCTTTCATCCGTTCTCACGAAAGAGTTACTGGACGATGATTGGACGAAATTTTGAAATAAAAGAGGAGATTAGTCAGAATTCGGGGAGTTCTTCGACAGATCCGAAGCATCTAAACTCCACGCAGTTTTCCTCCTGATGGCCAACGCCCATAACGGAGTCCAATAGACTAAGTCTCGAGTCTACACTTAGAAGAAGTGATATTTTTTATTTGTGCACGAATTGATCTCCCATACGATAGTAATATGAACCCTATCTACAAGGTGTCCTATATCTACAGAAACGAAGACGACAACTAACAGGTCGTATGTTTAGAATCATTTTGTGAGCTCTCTCTCTCGATCGCGCATTAGCAAAGAAAAGGTCGTAGCCTCTAGCTTGTCGTATAATCGTTATTGTTGGTTATTTGTATTCTTTTGTTTGGATTTATTAAATTTTACTTTTGTTTATTATACAAAAATGTCTCTTAATTGGGTGTCCGAATCAGATAGTATACGCGTGTTTGTCCGCGCATTGATAAATTGACAAACTGGTGTCGGGATCCTGACGAAGGAACAAGGTGAATTCGCCATCACCAACTTCCGCTCTAAATTATAATATAACAGTAAAGCCCTCCACACTCGTTTCCCTACGACTGGGAAAGGCCGTTCTTTGGACGACCGAGAACTGGTTTTACCGACTAGTGCCCGTAAGTGGCGTAGATTGAGCTCTGCGTCCTTGGCTAATCTCACAAAATATAGGGACTTTCAAAAAGAATTCTACCATTTTTAATTACTGTAATTATGTTTATAACATTCTCAGATGATAATTATGTACATTAAAACACTAGAAAACTGTTTAAGTTTTACATTTTCCCATTACAATTCCTCAGTGTGTGAATCTCCTGACACATTCAACTAATATTCAAATCCATATGCTCACTACAGCATATCTCTTTTCACTCCTCTCATAGCAGTCACAATTCTGTTAAAAATTTCAATTTTGTGAACTGCAGAACACAAAACACTTTCTCTATTGCAGAGTCACCATTTTTTGTTCATGGTGCATTCTGGAAGCAGTAGACAAAAACACATTTGAATGCAGATGGGAGATGAAACTTGAGCAGTTTTTATTGATTGGTGTACATTGCATACTTTTCAAGTAATAATTTAGAATGGTAAAATTCTTTTTGAAAGACCCTGTATTTGTTTAGTTTATTATAAGCTTTTTTCCATTAATTGCTACAGCGTAAAAGATAAAACAGAAAAAATTTTTAAATTATGAAGCCTTGAAATTATTATTAAATTAAAATATGTATTATTTAAATAGTTTTAATAACACATTTATATATTTTCCTAGGATTTCTTAAAACAGGATGAGCAATTAAAACAAGAAACACAATCAATAAAGTCAGACTGTAGATATAAAAACAATGGTATAAAACTTAAGATTAATTTGAAATTAATTTTTACAAATAAATTTTGAAAGCATCATATTTTATGTTTAATATTTTCAGACCTTTATCATTTGACATCACCTTCAATTTCAACATCTGTAGATTATTGGCAACAAAATTCATTTGTAGAAAATCATCATGGTGCCTTAAATGTTGAGACTGATTCTGTTGATCTGAATTTTATGCTTTCACCATTCAAGTAAGTGAATTATACTTCTGATATTAATTTCCAAAAATATTCTTCATAAATCTATAATTTACTAAACTTTTTTAGAGATGTAAAATCTGAAGATGATATTGCTAGGTCTAATTTGGAAACCCTTGCTTTTGTTAGTAGCTTAAATAATTTTTCTTCTAATCCTGTAACTCCTGTTAATGAAACAAAATTCACAAGCATTCAGAAAAAGCAAGCAATTGGTGAGTATTATCTTTAATTAATACATTCATGAAACTTGATAAGAATGAATCATAATATTTAAACACTTAATAAATATATTTGAATTAGAATATGATGTAATTCATCATAATCAGAATTTATATAAAATTGAAGATTCAATATCATCTCATTCTTCATGTTTGTTACCTAAACAAAGAACTCCTTCAATTCTTCGACGCAGTAAGAAGAAAAAGGTATTTAATTTTTCTGATAAGAAATTTAATTATTTTAAATATTATATTTTTATTTTTGTTTGATTAAAATTGTGATTTTTGTTTCAGACTCTAGAAAGTTTAGAAACAAGTTCTAATTTTAACGAAGCTGAACGTCTTCAATTTGCTGATAGTTCTAGAGCATCATTGAATTTTAATCAAATAATTGAAAATAAATCAACAGAAAATAAAACAGATGAAATACATATGATTCCATTTAATTATCGAGCAATGCCAAATAATACAGCTGTTTCTAAAGAAACTGAACTTCCTCATTTTCAGTCATTTCTTGTTTCAACATCTCAATTTGTTACAGAATCTGGTCAAATGATAGTTTCTAATAGTAGTTTACCTATCACTAATACAACTGCAGTTTTCACAAATTTAATTTCAACTCCTTCGTTGTCAAGTGATCTACCTCGTCCTCCTCCTCTACCATTTATTTCACCATCTGAAAAGGAGACACCCTTTAAAGATATGCCTTTTTCACCTTCTCAGGTAATTTTTAATTATTTATAACAATAATTGATACTGTGAAATAATAATTTTAAATTTTAAAATTTTTATTGCTAGTTTTTAAACAGTCCTTTAATGACATGTGCTACATCTACTCCCATCTCACCTTCAACTAAATCTGGTCCTTTACATGATTTTAATCCTGTAACTTCAGATTCATTAGGAAGGTAATATTTATAATTATAATATGAAGTTTTTGAATTTTAATTTAATCTGATTATTAAATATATAAGTTTGTGTATGATGTTATAAAGAATTATAATAAGTGAATATCATAGTATAATACTGTACATTTCAAATAACTTCAGTACATAGTATAAAATAATGCATTTCATTACTAATTATAAAACTTGATTCATTTTATGCTGTTGATTACACTTTACGACAAAATAAAAACATTAATTATCTTATTGGAATGAAATATCATTTTTATATTTAAAAATAATTAAGGATGGTATGATTATCAAGTTAGCCATTAATAATGAATGATTAATTGGAAAAGTATAATCATTTAATCATATGATTAATCACTGTCAAGTAGTTTTTAAACACTTCTAAAATAGTTTTAAAGTTTTAGTAATAATTTAGTAATCTTTAATGGTTTTAAAATATCTTCTAAAATTTCAATTATGGTAAAACATCAATTTAATGGAACTAATTTGGACAGGACTGTCCAGGACAAGTCAATAATTTCAAAAATCCATAATATAATAAAGTAGGTTTTCCAATGCATGTGTTAAAAAATTAACAAATTAATTTTGTCAATTTTTTATGTGTGTCAACATCTAGAAACTTTCTAACAATGTGGCATGTGTTCAATATTGCAGCTTTTTATAGTGCCAAGTATATGCTTTTATTAAAGTTTAACATTTCTAGACTTTGTGTAGTATATGTTGTATAACACTGATGAAAGAGACAACAACAGGTACAATAAATACCCTATCCATCCTTCACAGTTGCCTTATTTCTTGGGTGAGTGGAGTGTACTTGTTGATTTTTTTCAGTGAGCATTTTTCATCTTATGAGTGTTTAGAACAAAGACATCTATTATATAAGTGATCTTACTGTCTTTGTCAATGAGAGTGATGTCAGGTCTATTTTGATGAATTGTTTTATCTGTGATTATGGCACTGTCATAATAGTCTGTTTGTGCTAAGAGCTTGCAACCAGAGTTGTGTTGTGTTGTTTCTGGCAGAATGTGGTATTTTCTACAATAGTCATTTGTGAGTAATGTATCCTTCATAATGTATTTTTTTGTAGTTTTCAGTATTTATGACCTGATCTTGAATGGCAATCATAAATCCCTCTGTTGTTACAAACAGGCAGTCCCTAGTCAGCCTGTAGTTTTATGCAGTTTTGTCAACATATAGTTCTGAGCTTGGTCATAGGCATGTCTGCCATGAAGTGTCTTTTGGGCCCATGACTGCTAAGTGTTGTCTGTGTGTTGAGCTATGTTCAGGAGCTCAGAGTGCAAATTTAAAGGAGTGTGGTTATTGTCTGCCATAGTTATAGCTTTATGTAATCTTGATGTTTCTTGTTTTTTGTGGAAAAACTTCCTCAGTGTCAAAATTTGTTTGTAGTAGATATTAACCATATTAGTCAGACCACAACCACCTTCTTTACAAGGAAGAGTTTAGTTTTTCTATGGATGATTTTGGGTGGTATTGTTTATGCTTTGTAAGTGTTGTTGTTGTTTATGCTTAGTGTTATTGTTTTCCTTTAGAGTTGCTCAAGATTTGTGAATGTACAGTGTATTATTATTATTTTTTATATACAAGGTGATTCAAAAGTTGTTAACCTTATGAAACATTATCTATTTATTATTGTATTAGTGGTAGCAAAGCTAAAAGAAGTATTTATGATATATGTATCCCTCATACAACATGGTTTTGCTCTAACACAGAAAATTGGGGATATGTCCATACAACTTAGTTAATGGTTTTGCTCTAACACGGTTTGAGAATTGGGAAAATTTCTGTACAAAATTTCGCAACTTTTAAGTGAAAAAACTCCATTATTCTATATTTTTATTCTTCAAGTAAGCATGCATGTTATCTCAAATTTGCCCATGGACTTTAGAATATTGAAAATTTCAATATTCTAAAGTCCATGGGCAAATTTTTCTTTTTGTGTTTTGTCAGGTTTACTTTAATGAAAACTGAGAAGGAAGATAAGAAAATTTTTTTCTTCTTTTTAGTTTTCCTATCAACCAAGTATTCATGACATTGCTTTCAGACATTAGCATTTAAAACTCATTGTGTTTTGGTTTTATTGCTATTTTTTAATAAATAGCCATCAAATCAAATTTTATTTAAACATTTATAAGTGTTATTGAACTTTTTTTAACCATAAATAAGTAATCATTTATAAAAATGATGAACAAGATACAGTGGTATCTTGATACTCTAACTGTTCCCAACTCAAACAATTTGGTATTTGATCATAAATTCTGGAGAAAAATTGCTCTGTACTCAACTGAACAAATGAGGTCCTTCTAAAAATATTTTCAATTAATAACATATTTTTATTTTATTATCCATAAAAGTTTTTATGATAAAAATAAGAAGAATGAAGATCTTTGTCAGAAATATTAGCAGCATTAACAAAAAAGCTGAGATGATGATGATACTTTAAAAAGAAAACACCCTCATTTAACTAAAATTAATATTAATGTGTAATCCAATACTTTTAATTGTGATCTTTAGTTAATTATTGATTGCTTTAATAAACATATTTCTCTTAGTAATGAAAAAGAATAGTATACTTTTGTTAATTTTCTGTTAACCCCAATATTTTCTATTAATCCTTTTTTCATATAGCATGGATTTGCATTACACAGCACTTTTACAGATTGTAACTACAGTGTTATATGAGGGATATCTGCACTTTAGTTAATATTTTACAATATATATATGTACAGTACAATCATATTAATCACTTAAAATGTTCTCCAATAACAGTGCAAGCTAGAACTATTCATGTTTGTAGGTGTTTTGCTTAGCATTGTATAATATAAACAATTTTATCTTCAGTGTTAGCCTTAAATTCTAAAATTTTGTGTGATCTTTTGTTTTGATGCATCTTTTGAGATGACCCAAGGGAAAGAGATTGACTGAAGACAAGTTTATGATTTAGATTGATGAATGAAGAAATGTTTTTAAGAAATTCTTCATTTCACAAGAAGTGTATCATGTACCAGTCATCACTATGATAACTTTTGAATCACTTCTGTGCTTTTCAAATTTATTTTATTTATTACACAAAAAGGAGGTGATGCCTCAAGTCAACCAAAGAAAAAAACTACATTTCAACAATTTTGTTATCAAATTATGCTAAAAATTTGTTGAAAGAAAAAATTGTCAAATTGCAATGTAGAATAGTTGCTGTTTATTAATTTGATATCATTAGTAAAAGCTAATGGAGAATAAATGATAGAACTGCAAATCAATATAAAATGAAAAAGAAGCATACTTAAAACTACATTAAGGACACTTTTACTAAGAAAAATCAATGAAAATGCAGTCATTAATTTTAATTTGAGTTCTCTGAACTAAAAAATAATTATTTAACCAAAAAATAATATTGAAATATCAAAATGAGATAAGTTATTAATAAGAAGTTTCATAGATACTGAATCAAAAGTTTGGACAAATCAAAATAAACTATTATAGTTTTTGTCTTAAAGTAATTTATACAATTCTGTATTTCAAGTAGATTAGAAATAGTAGAATTTTGTCATAGAAGATTCAGTTGTAAGAAGATTATTGCTACAGAAAAATTAATAAATTTGTATATACTGTACATTGCTCATAGATATTTATCATTTCTGCTGATTTTGTGATATAACTATAGGAATCATTCAAATGCTTAGGAATAACTATTATAAATGATGAAAGCCATTGATTAGACTTATAACTAAATTTTAGAATCCAAGAAAAAAGTCAAGAATATAGAGCAGTAATGATAAGCTTAGTGATAGCATAAAAAATGGATAGACAATCTCAGTATAGAATTAAATTCAAGACTAATTAAACGGATGGCTTCAGTAGTGCAGGCAAAAAAATGATCAGCTCAGAATAAATATGATAACTTTCATATCAAATACATTATTAGTTCTAAAATATTGAGAATAATCCAAGAAGTTTTAATAAAAACTATTTTTTTATAGATTTTATTAATATTTAATGGCATTAAATTCTCTATATATATTTTTAATAGCATGTTTCTAACGCCTAAGTACAGGAAGTATGTTTTTGAAGGTGTCCCTCGAACACCAACACCATTCAAAGATGCATTAGCTGAAATGGAATTAAAAGTTGGACCATTGAAACATGTGGTATTTTATTTTTTGTAGTCAATAATACAATAATAAAATATAGATTTACATTGAAATTTGCTTTTTATTTTAAACTTTTTTTAGCCTCAGACACCTACAACTCATTTTGATGATATCGATGAAATTATCGAACAAGACAGCAATCAAAGTATAGAAAAAAATTCATATAATCCTGATATTTTATCTGTCAATTATTCTACTGATTACTGCAATGTATCCAGTATTGAGAATGGATTTATATCAACAGATAAACGCAGATCAAATAAAGAGGTAACAATTTTTATTTCTTTATGTTAATGTAAAGATTTTATTGTGATTGATTTTATTAAGTATAATTTATTATAAAGTATTAATGTAGCAAAATAATTAAAACTATGATTTGTTTTACAGAAAATAAATTTTTTTTATGTTTTAACTTTGCAACAATTATAAATTTAGTGTTTATAAAGTTTTTTAGCAAAATTTTGATTTGATTGTTTTTGACAGTGGTATCTT